ACTTTTGGAAGGAGATTGAACTAATTTAAAGCTGCATGCATGAGATCTTTTGCTGCAATTTGAATAGTTGGGACCAATCTTTTTTTTTTATCTTTTAGTCAGGGACAATCTAGGATTGCAGTGTACAGGAGATGGTGCAGGGAGTGCAGAAGCCCTTGTTCCTTTCATTCTTCAGTGTATGGATTACAATGTGTTTCACACACTTCATATTTTTCTAGAATTATTTTCCAATTTGATTATGCAATGGAAATGACTTTTTATGATGTTCTCTAAATACTCTACATCTATGGCTTCTTTCTTTGACATATGGATCGCAATTGGCATACACCTGGGGGTAGCATGTGATCATCTAGTTTGATCATCTGGGTGAGCGTAATCTTGAGAAGGACTGTTGTAGGTAGTGGTGACTGACATTTCGACAACCTGAGCAGAAGTCATCTCCAGATCAAGTCAAGTGAGTTGTTTTCAGCCGAGTGTATTTGAGTTTGCTTTGTTTATACTGATTGTTAGTTCAGCCATGATGTTATTTTCTATTGTTCTGAACAACCTAACATTACCAATGGATCAAAACTGACCAGTCATGTTTGACTTCTAGCACTTGAGTCTTTAAGCCAATAACATCAAGTCTGCTGACCAATCAGTTAGCTCAAACTAAACTTGCGACACACAACTGACAACAACTCTCCACTTGACTCTGATGATGACCTCTATCCATTTTTTAATTTCCTTTATTAATTTGATGACCGGAAAAAAAAAATTGTGATTGAAATGGTTATTTTAATGTTTATTTATTCTCTACATAGCTTACACACCAGACAGTAAACCACTGTTGTTTCCTTGTGGTAATTTAAGAAGAGAGGCAATACCCACTGCAATGGCTAAAGCAGGTACACTATTGGTAGGGAGAACAGGGTTTTATTCCATCTTCAACCTTACACTACCTGCAAACCTTTTGCAACTTGCTAAGATGATACTTACTTACTAGTGGTTTCTTTTTCCACAAGAAGAAGAAGAGCTATAATGGGTAGTGGTAGCAGAAAAGTGATTGAGCCAATCAGATTTTATACTTCTTCTTTGGAGGAGACTGGGCTGTTCATGAAGTAGTCTTGAACATGGGAGGAGTAGATGGGACAACACTGCCCCCCCTCCCCCCCACATTTCCCAAGCATCTTTAGTTGATGCTTTTTCATGAATTATCTCTTTTCCCTTACAAAGAAAGGAACAGAGTGGCACGTACTCTTAGCCTCCTTTCTTCCTCTTTCAGTCATGGATCACCATTAGTACCTGATTAACCCTTTTATTCTTAATACAGGGCTCTACACTAACGGTAGCCAAATGAATCCACAGACAAGTAGAAATTCAGTTTTGGCAAGTGGTTTTCGATGTCCACTGGTCAGTTTGGCTAGTAAACAAACTGAAATTATTGTAACATCTAAGTTGTCAGTAGCCACTGGCTAGTTAGTTCAAAAGGTCTTTCTGAGCCCTGTAAGAGTGATTGGCATCTTGTTTCTTAACTGTATCACTGCTGAAACAAACATTGTGGTTTTGAGAATAAGGGAAATGATCAGAAACAAGAAATGTCTTGTTGGTGGACAAATTCTCCCTGTTAGCAACAGAGAAAATGTATTAGAGAACATTAAGGAGAACATGGATATTCATGTTGGAAGACAAAGTGTTGAAGTAGCCTTAATAATTTTCTTTCAATGTGGGCTGGCTGCCATAAGTTTGGCTTCCATTGATTAGTAACCCACAAAAGCCCTCACCAAGAAGTTAAAGCTAACTGCAAGCACTAAAACCAAAAAAGGGAGATGGCCTTCCACTTTGAAAAAAGGCTTGCCAGTGGTTAAGGCTTCTGAAAACCACATGCTGTTCATTTCTTGATGTTGCAGGAATAGGACTTGATAGCATTCACGTATACTGTACATGTGCAGATCCCAATGTTAAGCATTTGTTGGATGAGTTAATGAAGAAGCAGGTAATTTGTTTTGGGTTCCAAGGTACATCACTTGAAGAAATATAACAGCACTTGCAGTAACAATGGAAGAGTTATTTAACACTAAACTGCACAATCGAGCAAAATTTATACCAATGAATCCATTCACTCACAAGATCTCAATCTAAATTCTCTTTGGTGGTTGTCTCACAATTCTTAAGATGTGAGTTTGAAGAATTTCATTTTGGATCAACTGATATAATGGCTGGTTTTCCATATCCTCACTACTTGTTGGCTTGATTGTCTGAGCCTCCTGGTTAGCTCAATTGGTTAAGTGCCGAACTGTTGTGCGGGAGGTTGAGGGTTCAAGCCCCGGCCGGACCAACACTCAGGGTTTTAAAATAACTGAGGAGAATGTGCTACCTTTCTAACATCAAGAAATGGATAGACATTCTAGTCTTCTCGGATAAGGACGGATAAGGACGAATAGGCCATAGGTCCCATCTCCTGCATCAATTAATTAGTTAATTTGGTTAGGCAGGGGATGTTCAAGAACCCACTCACGAGATTACTGTGATGTGGTCTACTGGCCTGTTTACTGAGAATTGGGGGGAGGGGGCATCTGTTAAATTCACCTTTATTTGATTGTAAACTGCTTAGCAGTCTGGTAAAATTCCCCCACACAGTGTTGTAATGTGCCATGAGCTCAGGATGTGAGTGCTATATCAATAAAAGGTATTATTATTATTATTATTCTATCTGCATCATACAGGGGTGTTACAGGGTTAAGTGAAAAAAAATTCATAGTTGGAGGAGATGGAACATAAACTTTTAGTTTGCTTTTCCAGAATATTCTGAAACTTATAACTATTTCATTTCAGGGTGTTCCATCGTATGCTGTATTCTTCAGTCCATCGGGAGTTAACTTCACACAAGATATTCTTTCTGGCAGTGAGGAATGGGATAAAGTGAAAGTAAATAATTCTTATTTCATTTACAACTATCTACATTCTCCCCTGCCCCCCTATTAACCAAATGATGTCACAATGAAGTTTTGACTATCAACCTTGTAATGGTTTTATTTTTACAGCTCGTTGCAATTGGTAAAACAACTGCAGACACAATGAAGAATAAAGGTTGGAAAGTGTGTGCAGTTTCTGAACAACCCAATGCCCACTGTCTGGCAAAATGTGTGGTGCAAGCCTATGATGGAGACCAATAACCGCTGCTTAAATTAGTTCTGGGTATCTGCAGTTTTCCCAAAGGTCTTCCTTTCAAACAGCTGAAAATAACAACACAATGAAACTTTGTTCCTTGGATTTTATTAAGCAATTTTTCAAATGTTTCATATAACAAGGCGTGGGAAAGGTTCCATTCAAGATCCCTGACCTGCAAATCAAACCAGTTTGTAGAACTGATGCAAGCTGATTACTTCACCCTTGAATGCCAAGAGATAATGAACATGCAACCTCTTCTTACCATTAAGTTTTATCTCCACAACTATCAGAAAAAAAAGGTAAAGGGAATAACTTAACTAGTGGATGAAATCACTTACTGATTTACAAGACTATTTAAGACAGCTGAAGGAGAGAACTTAAACCACAGTACCTGGATTTACAAAGTTAACAGGATAAAGACATTGAAAGCTATGTACAGCAACAAGTTGCAAATCAGCAACTAAAGGATCTAGGGAGCAGCTTTTATTTGGAGGTGCAAACTGTTTAACATGCTTGGATGGCCTATGAGTCTTTGCTTGAATGTTACTGTTTTTATGTCATTAGCTGAAAAAACTTCTGAGAAAAGATCTCAAGAAGCAAACAGAGGAAAAGCACTGGCATATCTAATTTTACTTTCTAGTTAGAAAGCACCAAATCCAGATGATGGCATGATTTTCTTAGCAAAAAGGATCTTTTGATAAGTTCTTCCTTTCACAGGTTGTCGACAGTTCATTTGCAGTTTTATCTGTTCTTCTGTAACCTCTCTATAATCCTTTCCAATACTCGCTTGGCTTCACACATTGGGAAATTTCTCATGTCATAGTACTGGGGTGCAATCTTCACCAACCTGTTAAAAAAATCAAGCAGGAAGCTTTCTGAAAATGTCTTACAATAGTCATTGAAGAGGTTCCTAGATTCTCCTGAGGTTTCCAAAAGGTCTCTGATGCATAGGCTTAATTGATTCTATCCACTTTTCTTATATATTCCTGTCTCAAGCCCACTGCAATCATGGTACATCTAGCTTGTTCATATACAATGGAACCTCGATGTAACAAAGTCCTTGGTTATCACGAACGATACTTTAGTTTCAGCCCGGCTAAAGTTACAGTAAAATGTATGCCACAGAATCTTGATGCCCAGTCCCTTGGCACTTTAAATCGAGGTTTTTCTGTAATAAGCTGAACTATGATTGATCTATTCAAGGGCAGACACATCAATGACATCATAATTGAAAGTTTTTTCTTCTTTATTATACAAAACAAACAGATTTCATGTTGCAGTGTGACTTATCAGTCATAGATCACAGAAGATGTGAAAATGTGGTAAGAACATTCAGTTACATTCAGCAGTGCCTAGAGCTCCACTCTTTGTTCGTACCACTATTTTGACTTCATCTGTTATCTTTATCTGAACAGATGCATGGTGACATGGAATCTATTTGTTAAACAGACCGAGACCAAAGCAGAGGGTCTTCTCTAGGGTGCAATAAGTGAGCTTCCATAAAAAAAAAAGCTTGAGTGTGATTAACAACATCATCTTGCTTGATACTGTTGTAACAGGTCTTGCATCATATCAAAAAATGACACCTGACATAAAACATGGGCCAATATAAAGAAACAAGAGAGCCCTTAGACTACTAAGGCCTTGAGGAAAATAAAGGTAACATCATCAATTGCTGACAATTGCATTTGACCAAGATTCAGTTGAATTTTTTTTTGTAGCACTTGCAATGTTCAATATTTTACAGATCAGTCACAATGGGCTATTGTGTAAACACTCCAAAACAATACAATTGGGAAACCCTTGAGCACCACAAAACTTACCAGTCAGCCTTTATGTCTGTACAGGTCCGAATGTAGTTCTTGGTGGTCAAAACAAACTCATTGTACAACACCCACTCAGGCTTGTGATCCAAACAAGTTGATGGATGCAGTTGTACAACCTAATAGTTGATAAATAATTATAGTGAAAGAAATTTCAAGTGAGCTACAGATGAAAATCAAGTAAAGAAATGATCCTTGCAGTTGAACTGCAATTACTGAAAAGAAGCCTGAAGAAAGTTCACACTTGCTCTCAGGTACTATTTGGGCCCTACTAACAACTGAGCTATGAAGCCACACATTTGAAGTGGGGCACAGATAAGAGGGCTCCTTGGCATGGAGTTAGCTGCTCTCAGCTTGACACCTCTGTGATCCTTCACAATAATGACAAATTCCTTTTATCACTGTCGGTGATGTCAATAGTTTAGCTTGTTGCCAGTCCTCTAGTTGCTTGGGTTCAGTACCTCCTCATCACAAAGAAAAACAGTGTACCCAAGAATCTGGCAAAGACATCTGTCAATCTCCTAGTACATCAGCAAATCTGGGACAGTTGGGAAACAGTGAAATTGCTGATTGGCTTGGATTTTCACAACATGAAAACAAGGCTAAAAGAGTGTTGTACTATTA